GAGAGAGAGAGAGAGAGAGAGAGAGAGAGAGAGAGAGAGAGAAGGGAAAGCGTTAGAGAGCTGAAAACAAAAAAAAAGTGCTCGTGAATGCTTCATTCAAACTCGCTTTCAGGGCTCACGGAGAACTTTAATTTGTGGCGCCTTAATTATTTCCCTATCTCTATTAGCCACTCCCCGGCGATTCTCTCGCGTAACTAGTCCCGCGAGAGATGGCGTGAGTTGCGAATTCATAGCGCGCTCGTGTTTCTTCCTCGAGATGTTGTGGCGCGCGCCGTCTCGTTTACGGCTATCTTGAACATCATTCGTGATTCCACCGCGAGTAACCATATATTTTTAACGCTGCGAGAACCACTGTTCGCGGCATAACGGAAATAAAAATGAGCAGTGCGCGAATCGCGCTTGGCGGAATCATTTTAATCGTCTTATGTTTCCTCTCTCCCGACTAGAAATTTATGGTTCTGATCAAGGTTAATTCTAATCAATTATCTAGCTTGTGTAAGGGATTATCAGGTCTTGGCGAGTCATATAACACATCAGGGCTTTATTAATAATAAAGATTATTAACCTTTAAAACGAATAGGATGTTTACTTGTATCCGGATATTTTTAATAACTCCGTATTTCGCCTCACTCCGAAATTTTCAAGATTTCATATGTACCTCAAAAAAGTTAATATAGCGAGGACATTTAAGACTCAGTGACGAAAATTCATCAGTTACGATCCGAATAACAGTCGAAGTAAATCAATTTTATACACGAATGACTTTTTATTTATTTAGAATATACTTTTTACATAAATAAGTGAAAATTTGTTTTTTTATATGTTGTACATTTCAATAATTTTTCAAATTATTTTAGTGTGTTGGAGTAATGAAATATTTTTTAATTTTAACGTTAAACTAGACGAACACACACTGGTATGATTAACAAGGTTTTTGCAGGTATGTGTTTTTTTTCAAACTTTTTGTGCTTCTTTTACTTTCTGTGTTTCGTACTCCTTTTCCTACTTTTGTATAATGTGTAAAAATGCATTTTTATGTTACTTAGATTTCTCTTTTTATATATACCGTTTTCATATATTTTAAAATAATTCGACTTTATTCAAGATAGTATAATGAATTACTTTTTCATTAATTATTACGGTCTTAAATATAAAACCTCAAATTTTATTTAAAAAAACTATAGCTATGATTTGTTAAACAAAAGTTGTTAGCTTCGAAAAATAATTAAACATCGTAAGGGTTAATAATTATCATCTTAATGAAGACTTGATAACATATATTATCCTATATATACCAGATAATTGATTAGAATTGTAATCATGAGAAAAATTTCCAGTCAATCTCTTTCTCTTTCGGAAAAAAGCTTAAACGGCACAGTCAGAACATCTTAACCACATGTACGATCGTAAACAAAAAGTTTGTGCACAAATTTTCATATGAGTTTTGGAACACATCCATTTTGTCCAATGGGAGAATTTGTTTTTTAACAGAAGAAATCTTCCATTGAATAAGACGGTTCTGACACTCACATAAAATATCGCTCTTCTGTTCACACAATCGTACATTATATCCATAACGAATAATAAAATATTAGTTTTGTTAATCCTTCTCTTATAAACGTTCTTAGGGGACATGGACCTAGACTAACAATGGAAGCATTTATCCGTTTATCTATCTCTCTTACGTATACCCACAACCACCGAATATTCTTCTTCCCTTTCTTGCCACGATCACCATATTAATGACTCGGTCAATTTGCATACCTCTCTTTGCAGTGTCTTTCGGCGGTATAATCGGCTTATTTCTGGGCGGCTCGTTGCTCAGCGTCGTCGAGTTACTTTACTACATAATGGTGGCCGCGTTTTCGTCCCTCCGCTCGCGGCAAAGGACCAGGGCGGAATCGAGGACGCGTACGAGCAGCACGCCGATCGTCCACACAGCGGTACTGCCCATCCTGGATTACGGCCCGCTAAAGCCGCCAGCGAGGAGAATACCGATTTTCGCGAATTACGGCCTCGCGAAATCGAATTTGAACAGATATTGAGTTACCGCGGAGATAACCAGGCACCAAGTCTTTCGGTCAGAGGCTCTCTAAGCGTCGGCCGGTCGGAGGCGCTCGGAGAGCCTCCATTATGGTCGCGCCGCCATGAAATTTGAGAAGGTAAAATATCTAAAAAAAAAAGAGATGGCACCTCCACCTTCCACAAGGCGAATCGATATTTGTTAGCTGTCACATCAAAATGTGAACGCGTGCGCACTCGCGCTTTGTGCCCTTAATGGGATTCTATTCTTCGCGAGGTTGAGAAACAGAATGTCGAACCGCGCGAATCAGATATTCACGTCTGGCACACTAAACGCGCGGACCGGCGGCACTGTCCGCCGGAATAAACGAGTCCCGTTTTTCATAGACACGTTGGTTATTGTGTTTTACCGTGAGACCGTCCCCATAAATCAGGAAGTGGTCGCGATATCGATCGGATTTGACAAGGAAATCGAGAATGCCTTGCACACCGAGATCTAACATCCACCTAGGTATCCATATTCATGTGTAAGTGTCCGTGCGGCGAGGAAACTCGTATTTTATTCAGCGTTACATATGATACGTACCGTTCCATCTTACCATTTCGCGGCCGCGTAACGCTTGACTTCAATAATACACACCTGTGCAGTTTGCATGCGGGTAACTTCTTTCTAGTTTCCGCGCGCGCGAGCAACGATCGGAGTCGGACAAAACTCCGCGGCGAATTTGCACGTTCGAGCATCATCGGGAGCGTGGCGACGCGGACGGAAAAGGGAATTAGCGGGGCGCGCGGGCCGACCTTCTTCTCGTAATCGCTTTTGCACGTGCAAAATGAATGAATGTAAAGACGACGACATCACATCCGACGACATCGACTCGAAGTCGTCGCGCCAAATTGGTCGGATAATTTGCCGGGAAAGAGAGATACGGGGGCGGAACTGGGACGCGCGCAAAACCCGTACGTGCTCCAGTTGTCGTTATTTCGCGCCGCGAAAGTGGACGTGACGATAAAATGCGGGCGCAAGTCGGCAATTGCGGCGTTCCGGACGATCGCCGAAAATGTATGAATAACGCGGACGAATCATCGCGCATATGATCGCGCATTCGGCGCACTCGGTGAATTGCCGGCCCGCAGTTCGTACTATTTGCGCGGCGTGCCGTCCGTAAATAATGCACGAAGACTGCGCGCGGCATCCGTCTTGCCCGGGTTAACGCCCGCAATGAGACGCGGCATTATTACTGGCGTTATACGCGGCATTATTACGCGGTGTGTATGTGTGTATCGTATTCCAGGCGAATCTTTCCGCCCGAAAGGAATTCCGCCGGAAGGAAATCCGCCGGGCGGAAAAGTTCCGTGGAAAAAAATGGCAAGCTCGCCGTCGCTAAGGACGCCGTTCGTTTCCGCGGCTGGGTGATTTTTCGAGCGACGACGAGCCGGATTTTTCCCTCCGCGAGACCGGCGCTCGCTTTCACGCCATTGAGGCTAACCGGCGCACTTAAAACAGCAGATAAGACACGCGCCTCCCATTTTTCCATTTTCCCGGGCGACACGTGGGAAGCGCTTTAAAGCGCCACGCCGTTGAGACGGAAGTGAATGTCTGGTCGGGCCCCATTTGGCCATTTATTATTTATGAGAAGGGACGGGGGGAGCGAGAAGTTGCGCCGTCCGTCCGTCCGTCCGTCCAACCGACCAACAACGTCAACTCCCCGGGAAAAAAATCCCTTTCTCGCGCTTATCTCTTTTTAGGAGCGCCGCCCGCCGGGATTCATCCACCGTGAAAGGGAGATACTTCACGGGAGGATTCGCCTCCTCTCTCTCTCTCTCTCTCTCTCTCTCTCCCTTTCTCTTCTCTCTTTTTCCTCTTTTTTTCTATTACGCTTTAAAAGCATCCGTCGGGCTTTAGCCAACATCGCCTATTATAAAGACCCCAGCGCTCCTGGCCGCCCAGATGTCACATGTAGTCGGACGAAATAGTTTGAAGTCTTGCTCAAACAGATACCGGCCGAATAAAATGGGATCGTTCGAAATTCGCTGGCGGTCATTTTGATCACTTCAGTCTCTCTAGTGGGGAATTCTCACGGATATTGCTGCGCGGTGTCTGGCGCGGGCAGGTCGAAGATCTACGAGTTGAATAGAAGCGGACAGACAAAGAAGAAGAAAAAAAGGAGGACGTAGCCGGGAAAGAAAAGGGAAAGCGCGAGTGTGCGAGCGATCGGCAGATTGCGCGATTGCTGGCAGCAGGACGAAGAGGCCGGAGAGAAGCTGGAGGAACAAGCAGAAGGGCTGAAGGGGAGAGAAGGAGAAGGAGGGCAGAAAAACCGATCGTTGTCAGGGAAACGAAGGAAATCTGCATTTTGTCAAACTGTCGCTTGGAAGTTCGCGTCTGGAAGACGCGCGAAGGGTGAAAGGTGAGGGTGGAAGGGCGAGGCGGACAAGGGGAGAGCAACGGTAGCGAGGGATTGTCGAGTGACGAGGGTGGAAAAAGGAGAGCGGCCGGCCGCTTCGGAGGAGGAAGCCTCGGCGAAGTTTCGAGTAACTCTCCGGCGTGCTGTTATCTAAACCCTTCACGTAGCGCCCCGAGTGGTTCGCAGGCCGCTGCTTCCTTGCCGGAGAATATCAGCGCATTACTTTCGATAAAGATCCCACGGACGGTAACTCGCCGCGCGTAATTGACAGGAACGCGTTGTCCCGATCCTGCCGTGAATGCGAGAGCCAAATGCGGCAAGAGGAATCGCGCGGCCCGACGAAAGACTCTTCGCAGAAGTCGAATGCGCTCGAAGGTATCGTCCGTACCTGTCCTGCGCGCGCGACGAATATCGATTCACGCAATTCGCAGCGACTAATCTTTCTTAATAATCCGATATCGCGGCGCGATTACCATCGCATTTGAAATTCATACGAATGGTTTTACATGGCTGTAACACGAACGCGTTGTAATGCGCATAATGCTAACGTTTATTTAAATTTATCTCCTGAAATTAATGTCGCAGTTGCACGCAGTAGGGCTTTATCTAAATTATAATTAATTATATTACATTAATAATGACATGCACTATATTAATAAATTTGTATTTTCTACCGAGCGTAATGATAACAATTAACCGCGATCAAACGTTTAATAATGATGGTGATGTGATTTTTGTTAAAATGCGACTATTTGTACTAAGAGTTGTTCTTTGAAATTTGCCTCAGACTAGATATTCAGATTTGAATTTAGAGATAAACGTGAGTTTTCTTTTTTTACAGAATCGCGGTTATATGTAATGTCACATATATTATGATTCCAATAAAAACCTCCCGATTAATTCTAAATTCAGGTCTGAGTATTTCAAACAATTTTCAAACGACTACTAAAGATGTATTGTCTGTATAGTCCTTGTTAAAAGTCATTAAAAATTAGAAATTAAGAGTTGTTCTTTGAAATTTGCCTCAGACTAGATATTCAGATTTGAATTTAGAGATAAACGTGAGTTTTCTTTTTTTACAGAATCGCGGTTATATGTAATGTCACATATATTATGATTCCAATAAAAACCTCCCGATTAATTCTAAATTCAGGTCTGAGTATTTCAAACAATTTTCAAACGACTACTAAAGATGTATTGTCTGTATAGTCCTTGTTAAAAGTCATTAAAAATTAGAAATTAAGAGTTGTTCTTTGAAATTTGCCTCAGACTAGATATTCAGATTTGAATTTAGAGATAAACGTGAGTTTTCTTTTTTTACAGAATCGCGGTTATATGTAATGTCACATATATTATGATTCCAATAAAAACCTCCCGATTAATTCTAAATTCAGGTCTGAGTATTTCAAACAATTTTCAAACGACTACTAAAGATGTATTGTCTGTATAGTCCTTGTTAAAAGTCATTAAAAATTAGAAATTAAGAGTTGTTCTTTGAAATTTGCCTCAGACTAGATATTCAGATTTGAATTTAGAGATAAACGTGAGTTTTCTTTTTTTACAGAATCGCGGTTATATGTAATGTCACATATATTATGATTCCAATAAAAACCTCCCGATTAATTCTAAATTCAGGTCTGAGTATTTCAAACAATTTTCAAATAACGACTACTAAAGATGTATTGTCTGGATAGTCCTTGTTAAAAGTCATTAAAAATTAGAAATTAAGAGTTGTTCTTTGAAATTTGCCTCAGACTAGATATTCAGATTTGAATTTAGAGATAAACGTGAGTTTTCTTTTTTTACAGAATCGCGGTTATATGTAATGTCACATATATTATGATTCCAATAAAAACCTCCCGATTAATTCTAAATTCAGGTCTGAGTATTTCAAACAATTTTCAAATAACGACTACTAAAGATGTATTGTCTGGATAGTCCTTGTTAAAAGTCATTAAAAATTAGAAATTAAGAGTTGTTCTTTGAAATTTGCCTCAGACTAGATATTCAGATTTGAATTTAGAGATAAACGTGAGTTTTCTTTTTTTACAGAATCGCGGTTATATGTAATGTCACATATATTATGATTCCAATAAAAACCTCCCGATTAATTCTAAATTCAGGTCTGAGTATTTCAAACAATTTTCAAATAACGACTACTAAAGATGTATTGTCTGGATAGTCCTTGTTAAAAGTCATTAAAAATTAGAAATTAAGAGTTGTTCTTTGAAATTTGCCTCAGACTAGATATTCAGATTTGAATTTAGAGATAAACGTGAGTTTTTTTTTACAGAATTGCGGTTATATGTAATGTCACACATATTATGATTCCAATAAAAACCTCCCGATTAATTCTAAATTCAGGTCTGAGTATTTCAAACAATTTTCAAGTAACGACTACTAAAGATGTATTGTCTGGATAGTCCTTGTTAAAAGTCATTAAAAATTAGAAATTAAGAGTTGTTCTTTGAAATTTGCCTCAGACTAGATATTCAGATTTGAATTTAGAGATAAACGTGAGTTTTTTTTTACAGAATTGCGGTTATATGTAATGTCACACATATTATGATTCCAATAAAAACCTCCCGATTAATTCTAAATTCAGGTCTGCGTATTTC